CACATTTGTTTTTGCCATCGGAGCAATGAGTCATTTTTGCACAACAGGAAAAGACCAGATAGAATTGGGAAAAAGTTCAATTCCCTGGAGATAGACTCTGTATTTTTTTTAATTCCATCTTCATTGAATTATATTTTCTTTAAAAAAATAACTGATTCAAAATGTATACGTTTATATGAAATATTGACTATAATATGTTAAAATGTACCACAGCCTTCCCACCACCAGATGAATAAGACAATAAATTGCGAAATCGTTCAATGTTTACAGTCCCTTTCTTGAAAACAAAACATAAACAGAAAGTGCACAAATGCACTTAGAGTTTCCAAGGGAAGTTTGGATTTTCCAAATAAAACCAATTAATTTTTAACCAAAAACCAAATTTTCAAAAGATTTCTCAATCTTGTCTGCAAGTGAAAAACAGGACTTAGCTAGAAAGTAAAAAGGGTTCACGCTGGTTGAAAAAAATGAAAAACCCATTAACTTGTATAGAAGAGGGGTTTTGACTGTGATTTGAACTTTTAAGTACCACCCATGCAGGTATTAGAGAAAGATATAAAACCTAGAGGACAAAAAAAAGAAAAAAGAAACCACTCCCAAACATCTCGAAGGAGTTTAACCTTTTGTGTAAGTGGGAAATCTTATTTCCAATGAATTATCGTACAAGTAACAGTGGCCAGAAGAAAGTACCCACCAGTAAGACAGCGTTGGTTTTATTGGTTTGCTAAAAGCAGCAGTGAAAACTGGAAAAACTGACAGTAGATATAGGCTTTTAAAATACCCGCCAAACATGTTCCAAAATCTAAAAAGACCTGAAGAGCGAGAAGGCCACAGGATATGGCTTCTAGCAAAACAGAAATTCCTCATTGTTCAATCTCTTTGCCTCTCTCCCTCATCCTCGCCTCAGTGGCTGTTTGGAGAGGCATTAAATTTATGGCAGCACCAGCAATCACTCTTAGTGAGATAGTCTTCAAGATTGTTTAACCCATTTCTTTTATTAGGAGCAATGGCTACTCTGGAATTTCTAAGGACATCATAGGGTCTAAGTGCTTCATTGCAGCGAGAACTGTGGTTAAGATCCGATGTGTTAGCAATTAGGCCTAATTAACCCCAGTGTTGAGCCCAATTTCTAGGAGGCCTTTTATTTCATTGACCGCCCCAGTGTCCTTTATGACAGGCAGTGGTTCTTAATTTTAATGGCTGTTGTATCTGCAGCGTTTCCAGCTATTATAACATTGTACCACAGATATCCCTTGGGAGGATTCCTAGGTATTCACATGAAGAGTGCTGGCAGGGAAGGTTCTTCTGAGCAATGAATTTTCATGGAAACTACGCAGAAGCAAAGAACAATGGAGGTGACCACTTTCCCAGTTAGCACAGACAACCAAAGTAGTGGATACAGCATTCCCAAATGAAGGATTGCTATTCTTTGGTCACAAATTAGCTTATAGTAAAAGAGGATTTGGAAAAAACTAAAATAAAAAGCGGTAATATTTGCTAACAGTGGGGAAATGTCAAGGGGAATCCCACTAATTAGGCCAGTTAGGCATTCCTCTAAGACATGGAAAGTTGCATATTGAGTGAATTGTGTGGTTGGTTCTGGTGTTGAGAACTGGGGCAGCCCCTCATTTTGCCTTCTTGCTTCTAGTCCCCTGCAGAAATGCCGAAAGGAGCTGCTGAGAGATTCACGCTTGAGGTCGTCCTGGTCTAGTTGCTTCTGGTACATTCCTCCAGGTGCTCCAAGTCAGTTGCATTTCCCAGGGCTGTCCTTCAACTACAGCCCTCTTCTGTGTACTGGCTTTACTCATTGTTGTCCTGGAAAAAAAAAAAGGCAGAAAGAGAATAAGCTCTTTCTGCCACTGCTGAAGAAAGGGAAGCTGCTAGATTAGAGGGCAGTCATGACATGGAAAGTACTTCCTGCCTTATTTTCGAGATAATTCCACACCAAGCAAAGTATTACGTAATAAATCTTTTCATTCCTTTCTTTTTTAAACAAAGATCCCCTGCTCTAAAACAAACTCATAAGAACTTTAAAAAGTGTTTTCAGGAACAGTTTTTAAATCTTTAAAGAAATACTTCAAAGTAAATGAAAAACATTTTTAATATGATTCTCTCAAAAAGAAATTATAACCTTTGTTTATAGTTTGACTAAGTTGCATTGATTAAAGGAGCCTGGTTCATCCTGATAATAATGATTCCACCCAAGCAACCTGTTTGACGGCGGAGAAAAATTTTTTAATTAACTTATTAAAAAAAACACATTAAGCTATGTAATCGGTAAATGTAAAAACGATAAAATTTTTTAAAAAATTTTAAAAAACCAGGTTAGCTAAAACCAGTTTAATCCTAAGAGTCACATCCCAAACCCAATATTCCCCAAATTATGGCTCGAAATAGAATGTTTCCCTGTTTAAAAAAACTTTAAAATATTTTTATATCAATATAAAAAAAGTGGAATAATAACAAGAGGCCTCCACAATTTTCTGTGGAGACGAGAGGGAGGAAGAGAGAAAGGACTACTGAGAGAAATACCCACTTCTGTAAGTTTTTAGGACTCCACTACCTTTGGGTTTCTTCAGTACACCGAGCTGTCATTCAGGTAATCTAATGCTTTTTTCGTTTACTCAGGACTGTGTTTACTTGAGAAAAGAGAGACATTAAATGCATACTACTATTTTCTTGCAAGCTCTACTTGGAATATTGGATGTATTACAATTGTTACTCTCTGTTTATTACTCTATTTGTAAAATACAAATTTTCATTCCACAATACGTGATGAGTGTGTCCATGTGTTAGGTACCAGTCACCATAAACAAATAATGGGAAGTCACAGTCTTAGGATTAATTTAAATAACATCCCCTAATTTTTCTTTAAAAAAGAGTTTAGCATCCTGTGGAACCAAGAGTTCCAGATTTCCCAAGCCTGTACGTTTCCATAACCACGAGCAGAGCATCTCACTTAAAACCAAGCAGAGGGAAGACAAGTGCTTAAGGGCCTGAGCAGCACTCTGATTATGTATTTGTTTAATGTCTAGGAGGGTAGAAAGTTCTGTCCAATCTCCCAATTCCTCTACACATTCATTAAGATCATTATGATTGTATTTTGGTTTCTTTTGAACATCCTTGTTTCTTTCTCCCGTTGTTCTCTTCTTCATTCGCTTTACTTGTCTCCCTTTACTTGACTTGAAATTATTTTGGCATATCTGAAGGCAAAACTTAAATTCGTTCCTCTTGATGAAGGTGGTTCAAGTTGATTGCAATGGTTGAAAATCTGATTGTGCTTTCCTTAACTATTCAGCAGCAAATTTACTTTTTTCTACAAAAACATTCTATTTCTGACAAGAAGTTAGGAGAAGGAAATGTCACAGGATGCCTCTTCACCAGAGCATTTCCTGTATTTTCTGCATGTGTATGCAGATGGACACACTTATGAATATACACACATATATTGATCGAATGCCTACAGCAATTGGTAAGATTAAAGTGATTACTCACCCAAAATTAGAGCTCCAATGAATGACTAGCTGTGGAATTCAGGACTACCTAAATCATTGGCTTTGAATTGAACAGCTATAAGTGTAAGAAACTTTCAAATGACCTCCAAATTCTAACCTCCAATTTTAAAAGATCCTGTGACCTAGAGTAAAATGGGGGGGGGGGTTTGCATAGTGTCATCCTGGAAATAACTGGATAAAAAAACAAAATGTTCAGAATATAAAAAGCAATTTTGTCTTTAATTCATGTAGGCATTTTTAAAATCCTGAAGACAGCAATTACACTCTTTTAAATTCCCTTGCTTGCTGCTGTTTTTTCACATTTGATTGGGAGGGTGGAATGTTGACAAAACCTTTAATTTTTGCATTCTAATTATTTATGTTCTAAGAAAGCTTAAAATAAACCTGCAGAAGATACTATAAATGATCATTTTCTTTTTCTTTTCAGTTGAGAAAATGAAAAGCACCAGATAAACTTAAGTTCATTTGTCTTTTTCCCTTGAGAAGCTGGAGAACATTTTATTAATCCTGATACTTTACATGTTGCGTAGAGACCAAAGAGAAGATGAAAGAAAACCACAGGAAGGGGGGCCCAAGTTTATGCATCAAATTCTGTTGACAGCAAACAGGGCAAGCCCAGAATTGCCTTGGCAGCCAGGCACACTTCTACATGCACAGAAAAGACCAACTTATCATTTTTCTACACTTGCTTAGCTTACTAAAGCCCCTGTTTCAGCCACTGCTTGTATACAATTCCAGTTCCTGGTGTCAGAGGCATGCTTATTTATTTGGCCACTCTCATGCCAGAGTCATGGAAACAGTTGTGTAAAAAATTAAAAAGCATTGTGCCCTTCTTAAATAATGGACTGGCTAGCGACTGTAAGCTGAATTTATCCGACCACAAAATTTAATTTGTGATTCAATTTTATTGATTCCCTTTCCCTTCTGCCCTCCAAATCTCTCAACACAGGTGGGATTCCCAGTTGCTTGGCTGCAAATATACTGTGTACTTGCTAAACCCACCAGTGAAGTCAGGATTGTGGTAAAGCACATGGTGTCACTGTCTCTGCGCCAACCACTAGACTTCTGCCAGGACGAACAAAACAACCAGATCCACCACCTAACCAAACTTACAATACACAACAATCCTAGCC